GATGCCGAAGATTTTGTTGAAGAGCTTATGGATGTAGATCAAGGACCTGATTATGACCAGGATGCCCCATGGACGCCAGAACAAATAGAAAAGGAATATGAAGAGATCGTTCAAGAAAATGACACTGATAATGTCAATTCAAGGTAATAGAGTATGAAATGTCTGAGAATACAATGTTAGTATTGCCACGCTCCCATTCTAAACCTAGAGTATCATATTACGTATAGTGTTGTTGTATAATGTAGTTGTTGAGTAATGGCTGTGGTTATGGTCTCTTGTGTTTGTATCTTGTCTTATTGGTCCTAATAAAGCCTGTTAAAACAAAAAATTACAAAGTAACTTATGCCAACTTCGTAAAGTAAATTTGTATATTTAATRAACAAATGATATTTAAAATGGCATTCTTGGTTTTCAGACTAGAGTACAACAACAAAAACACAAGGGAAGAGCCCAAGGGCATTGTTTTCCTCTCAAAGCTGATGTTGTTATTCCAGCATTGCCACTTCTGTTTTGCCAGCAACCCTGACAATGACATCACTCAGACTGGAACACTTTTGACCATAGAATCTAAATGCAGAGCCTGCAAACAAATTAATACCTGGAAATYACAGCCATATCTATTAGGAAAGTTTCCTGCTGGAAACCTMTTACTTAGCTTTGCTATTTTGACTGCTGGAGCCTCATTTKCTAAAATAGCRCTGGTTTTCAGGCATATGGGGCTTTTGATGTACCACCGATCTGTTTTTTACTACCACCAAAGGYATCTCTTAATACCAACCATAGTTACTTTCTGGAGGGCATACAGAATAAAGTTATTGAAATCACTTGAAGGAAAAGATGTTGTTTTAGCAGGGGATGGACGACATGACTCAATGGGTCACTCTGCTAAATATGGCACTTATACCACATTTTGTTGTACCATAGGTCGTATCATTGACATTGTACTTGTACAGGTATGTCATGAAACCTTTTCGTTTACTCACTATGAAAGAATAATATAATTTACTTTTGTGCCAATGAGACAATATTTTGTGTCATGGTTAATGGGACCTTCACACTCAACAGTTTTCAGTAGCATATATAGCATAAAAATTACAGTGACCAACACTGATTATCAGTTTTTATGTTATTGTTGAAATGGAAGTTTTGTTCAACTTATAGGYAAATCAAGTAGGTAACAGCACAGGGATGGAATTCTTTGGTCATAAAAAAGGCATCACCTCACTGCTAGCCACAGATATGGTCATCAGGTCTTTCATTTCTGACAGCATACCAGCACACCAAATGGATGCGCGAAGAATGCCCCAAGCTATGTAAAGAACTAGGGAAACCTACCATTAATCATTACTTTGATCTCTGGCATATAGCAAAAAGTAAGTAATACTTTATTATACAAGGTTCCAATGAAATATGTACACATCAGCCAACCAGAGTAGATTAGTTTTAGGTGCCATTCTGTGTTTGTTTGATAAGAAGAATACTTGTGCCAAACCATATTTGTGTAAGTGACAATGCACACATTTAAACTGGAACCTGTTTTAACTACAAAACATAGATAATTTTTTATAAAAAATAGTACAAATATGAACCTCTTTTTGTCTACAAATATATTTTCTTTATATAAAGGATTATGTATGTTTGAGGACCAGTGGATGTAAGATACTATTAATTTCGAGTTAATCCAATGAAAAAAATTATTACTCATTGCCTAGAACTTATAAAAATGTTTCCTGTTTAGAAATCCAAAAGGTCCTAACAAAGCTTGGCAAAGAAAAGGGATGCGAAGCTATTACTCAATGGAAAAGATCATGTATAAAGCATTTCTACTGGGCAGTGACTTCCACTGAGGAGAACAAGGGGCCACTTGTCTTAGCTAAATTCCACACTTTCCTCTCCCATTGCATCAACAAGCACAGAGGACTCCCAAATAAGTTATTCGACAAGTGTCACCACAAAGAATACAACAAACACCGTGTATGGCTGAAAAAACGTAAGCAGAAACAAAAATTTCAATTAGAAGTACTGACAGAAACAAGCTAGTTATAAATTTTCTTACATCCAAGATTTAGTTAGATGGGTGCAGGTTCACCCCATTATCCAATAAAAAGTCATGTTTATATGTTATTTTCAAATAACGTTGTTAATGTCCTTTTTACAAAGGTTCCGATGCTTATGAAAAACTAAGTGAAGCACTACAAAAGCCAAACCTGGTCAAGGGAATACAAAAGACTTCTCCCATTGCACAGACAAGTTGCTTAGAAGGCTATCATAGCGTAGTAAATCAGTTTGCTCCTAAGATGTTAGCATTTTCTTACTTAGGAATGCTTTCAAGGTAAGCATTGTGAGATTTAAAGACTAATAAAGACATTCATAATACGACAAATATAATGCTTTGAACAAGTTTAATTATGGAAGATCTGCTCGACACTGATGAAGCTATAAAATGGACATAAACCAGTGTTTCACAAATGACCTAAAGTCAATGATTTATCTTTTACACCTAAWAGGACAATGCTTGCTGCATTACATTTTAACTACAACCTCAGGCGAGATAGTAAAGTTGATGACAATGGCGAACCAAAAGTGAGACTTATCTAYCCTAAGTTTAAAGAAGGACAAGCCACAGTCAGAGAAGTCAAAGTACTACCATGTTATGGTAAAAGTAATTTTACCTATGTAAATATTGCATTATGTCAACTATCCCACATTAAAAAATTACAGAATAAACCCTCAAAACCAATATACACTTATTTGCTGATCTGTATACAATATGCATAAGTATGGATTAAAAAGGAAACTACAGATTTGAATGGGCAATGGCTCAAGATGCAATTATTATATTGATAATTTGATCAACTGTGCCTATATGCAAGAAAARATATTAACAATACTGAGCTGTCATTATGTACTATGACAGAGGTTATACAGTATATATTATAATTCATGTCTTTAGTGACCGAAATGAAATATGGTKGTTTTGTTTGAAAACACAAATGACTCAATTCTTTTATTCAAAAAATTAATAGAATTTTTTACCCATCAGAATATGTTGATGAGTTGTTTGAAACCCTAACATCGACACCACRTGAAAATTTCAAAAAACTTGAAAAAGAYTTGGACACTGAKACCCCTGCACCAATGCACACCATGCTAGAGAAGCAGGACAGAGCTGAAGCAGTCAATAAATATAATCATAGGAAAAACAAGGAAACTCCAATCTGTCCCGCAACATGTACAGGTACCGTAAATAATGATTCACCGCATACAATATACATGCATGATTTTAATTGTCTTCAAACATATTCATACATCTACAGATCAAGAACTAGAGCAAATATTAAATCCTCCAGTAATGCCCAAAGAGAAGAGAAAGGCTCCATGCTGTAAAAACTGTGAAAAACCGATGAAAAACCACCCGAAAAAAGTTAATGGTCTCTACATTTGTAAGAAAAAAAATAGCTAGTTTACTTGATTTCAAAGTAAGAGATTACCAGTTTTATCGATTGATATTAGGTCTTGATTATTATGATATTGTATACAATGCCTTTTTGTGGAAAAAATATTATACATTTGTCAAGTGTCAGAGAAAGATGCTAATTATACATGTGAATTTTTTAAAATGTAATAAAAAATACTATYCGGACTGTTCATCACCTGAAACATCTTCACTTTCTCCTTCCTCATCATCTTCTTCTTCTGGTTCAAGCTCAAACCCACGGTATTTTTTATTCTCGTCAGGGAATTTCCCTCGTATTTTGTTGTAAACACAACAAGGGAGCGCAAGTCTATAGTTACCAATGTAGCCGTACATAAAACGCATATATTGACGATAAGAAACTGCACGATAAAACCTAAAATAATAAATAAGATTCATTTAGGTTAGTTAACTACCACAGCGAAATAAATTCAGCAAAAATACAACTTACTCTGAATCTGTCCTTCGTCCTTCTTGACGCATCTTTGTATAAAGCCTTTTGTTCCTTGTTCTCAAACCGACGGCGGCCACCTCGAGAACCCATTTTTTAAGACAAATGTCTTCAAAAGCTGGATGAGCGGTAATACACGTTGGAGGTTGATCCAGGCATTCCAATTCACTGCGACATTTTTCGTACTCCACACAACAGCTACACTCGTCAGGCTTTACCACATGTAAAAGATCGCAATGTCCGCATTTGCACCTATAATATGTTGTAAAATCGTTTCAACATGCTGCTAGTAAAAAGAATACATCAAAGAAATATTAAAATCATTAAAAAAGGTGAATCCTAACCATTCTTTGATATCTTTCTCGCCACAAAAGCGTTCGTTCTGTTGTCGTTCTTCTTCTTCTTCACGAGCGACTTCTTTCTCGTAGTCCTCGACTTCTTTTTCCGTTGCTATCGGTTCTAGGTCTTCTAGTTCCCCCTCCGACAACCAGCCATGCAAGGATGTCAAAGAAGATGAACAGTCAGAGTCGGAGTTGAATTCAGCAAGATCACTCGCCATATATTTTCTCTTGTTGTCTCTGCTCGAAGTGCGCCTCTGACGTCATAGCGTGCAACCGCTGATTAAAAAAATCGCTTATTCATATTAATGGCGGACGGGATTGTTGCTGTCTTTTAGCATCAAAACTCAAATGGAAACAGAGCTTTTATGGATCAAACTTTGTTAATTGTTAGCATTTACGGTTATTTCAACGATATGGAATACATAAAACCTGTTTTTGATGCGTGTTATTTTGGTAAGACTAGCACTTTAAATACTTTGCATTGTACACAATATCCTTCGAGCACAAATTTCGCAACAAAATATTAAAAAAATAAAAATATGTAATGAACATTGAACTAAAAAGCCTCAACTGAAACAAATAGGTGTTCTAATACGCAGGTTTTTAGTGGACCAAATATTATATAATCAAGATGGGTCTGCAATTGTAGTTTCTAAGGCAATGTCAAACTTTTAAACCTATCCACGCTTTGTTTTCTACATCGATTGGCATCGTGGCCTGTAACCAATAAACCTAAATATCTACGGCGAGCGCGCGCTCACGACTCTAAGCAACACTGTTTAAACGACAAAAATAATTGTGCAACAACTAGAACTAAATAATCATTTGTAACTTTTATTCTCATTCTTCTGAGGATGGCATAATGTTATGCTGAAACACGTTAAGATTACAAAAGTAATATCATATTYTTAAAAGTTTTAAAATAAAGTGACAACTCTCAACACAGGATGCARGAGGAGGTGACGGYTTCCTGTGAGAAATATATTATAAAAACTCTAAAGGCAAATACTTTCTAATGAATTTCTGCCATGATAATGAAATTCGTTAATCCTTACAAACGTTCTCGGAAAATATTCATATATGTAGTTTATTTCATGGGGTAGAATGAGCGGACATTTTCCGGTTGAGTGACTACGCCAGTAGCGCCAAATTCAAATGTCAAGCCTGGTTGAGCGTGCGTTTTACAAAGAAAAGTGGCGAGAGTCGTCATATAAAATCTCATTTTTCGACAAACCTAAAACCTAAATAAAAAAGGTTACACCCCGGCTTTTGTAGATAAAGGCTTAAACTAAAGTTTTGTACAATCGGAACGAAAATTTGTTGGAATTTTCGACGATGAAATCGCTCACGAAGTTTTGCTTAATTTTACGTTTTCAATGGGAAACGGGTGACACGGTGTACGGGTTTCGCTTATTATATCTTCTCCCGAATTCAAAAATTAAAAAGTAACACCCGGCTTTTTTAGTTAAATGTCCAAAGTCTGTATGTGCAAAATTTTGTTTAAATGCATAAAGAATTTCGACAATGAAATTTGACAAAATTTAAAATGTGGAAATCGTATGCAAATAAGTAAATTTGCAAGTTAATGAGCAGTTTAATGGCTTTTGAAGTTTGCCGCCACAAGATTAAGCTCCGCCTCCAAATGATTTCACATTAATGATTCATAAACGGTAAAAACAAGGACAAGACTCTTCTATCGTGCTAGTTATCATAGGCAAACTCTAATAATGGTAGACTCAAACTGTCAAGTCACTAACTGAAAAGCCCCCAAATAAGTCGAATTTTGATAACAACTTAAACTGTAAAGTCAAGAAAGCGTCCTTTAATAAACCGCTTCATGTCTTAATAATAATGACTGAGCTACGGACTTCATTTCGAACTGTTTTAGCAAAGATTCAAAGCGCCGTGATAAGTTGAATTTTGACTACAACTCACACTGTAAAGTCAAGAAAGCGTCCTTTAATAAACTTCATTTGAATAAGACTTGTTATCAAGGATTCCAGAGGCTTGTCTTTTATTCTTTTGCTTTCTATGTTATCGAGCGGCGAGACGTTACCGTTAATCGGTTTAACCGATTAGTGGAAACGTCTCGTCGCTTCGCGGCTCGATAACATCATAGTAAGCAAAATAATATAAGACAAGCCTCTGGAACCAGGGTACATTTATTTGAATTGTTTTAGCAAAGATTCAAAGTGTATAGTCGGCTTTTGACTACAACTCAAACTGAAAAGTCAAGAAAGCGTCCTTAAATAAACTTCAGTTGAGTAAGAATTATTACGGACTTCATTTTGAACTGTTTTAGCAAAGATTCAAAGCCGCATAAGTCGAATTTTGACTACAACTCAAACTGTAAAGTCAAGGCGTCCTTTAATAAAGTTCAGTTGAATAAGAACTACAACTCACGAGCTGCAAAGTCAGTGAACAAAGCTTTCTTTCATAACTTTCACAAGTCGAATAAAAACTGCAATAAGAATCTATGGCGTACTTGAGTTCACGAAATTTGTATGGGTTGCTTAACTAGGGATGATACAATAAATTCACAATTGTGTACCAGTTGCTACGTTCCATTGTTTTTCTTGTTTTTGTAATGCTTAGATGTAACTAGCACGGCAACCAATAGGAAATACAGCTATTGTTCGCGTTGATCAACAAACAGCCGAACTCGTCTGATTAACAACCATAACCATTTCAACTTACTATCGTCACGATCTAGCTTTTTACTAAAACAATTTTTACAATTTTTACAACCTCTATCAAGCCTGCTCATTTATTTATTATTCCTAATTTTGACCTTGACAACAAGGATTTTTATATAAAAATCAACGGTGAGGGTCTCTGGCAATTAAGAATAAAAACGATACAAAACTTATTTTTGAATCCCTCAAAGCGAATTTAGAAAGAGCGACGGGATACAGATTGGCTTCGCATTCTGCTGATCGTATCGGAGCGATACTGAAGTGTCGTGTTAATCGATTGATTGCAAAAGATAAACCACTAAGGAACCGCAACCAAGCAAGAGAATATCGAAGCAGCCAATGGATCACTGTTGGAGTTAAACAAGATGAAATTGCTTCGTTTCCAAAAGACGTGCACGACGAATTGCGGAAGAAAATTATTGAAAACATCGATATGGAGAAAAAGATGGAAGGTATGAAATCCCGCCTCGAAATAATTAAACTATTGTAAATGGATTATATAAGTGTCGAGTAGGCACAAGATTTTAATCTTTTTTTATTGTTTAGAGTTACACAAAGCAATGGTTTTTCTCGTCTAAACCCTAAAACAGTATTGTTGGAGGACCATCAAACTACGTCCACATTACAAGTTGATCTTTCTGATGATAACGGTATGCTGTTTTTTGGCCTATTTTTTGAATGGGAATGTGTTATTCTAAGTATAAGAAAGCCGTTTGGTTGGTTGTTTTGAGTAAAGTGTTTACTCTCCTGCTCCATGATAATTCTTTTGGAACATCAACTTTATCTTCTCCACTGGTTCTGCAGGCTGAGGGTTTCCGTGTTGATCTCGTGACGCTGGTATCTTCCCGATTATTAGTTTCAGCTTTAGCGGCATACGGACACTGGCGGCTCCTCCTGTTACAGTTAGATGCATCTTTAGGTGGTTGCCAAGGCCTACTTCTCATAATTCTTGCTCGCTGGTAGCGTACGCTGGTGCTTGGATGTCGGCAGGGAAAAGGCATCTCACGATGCCATGTCTTTGGATCATAATCTCATTGCAATCCATAGCTTTGGACTTCAGCACAGTTCTAATGAAGGCCACCAAGCGTTCTTTAAGCTCGTCAATGCGGATCTACTGTAGGATTGGCAAACTCAGTTACCAACTGTTCTGACAAATGGATTTCATGCTCCCACTTGTTCTCGCTTGAACTGTAGTCTTTCCGTTTTATAAAGTATTCACGGATTTTGTTTGATTGTCTTGAGCCACAACGCGTTCAACTTCATAGGTACCCATTACCTTTGGTTTTGGTATATACTTCGATTTAAGATCACTGCCACCAAAATCATTGGTTAACAGGTCTTTATAAAATCCACAGGAAGGTCTCGTGCGCTTTGACATGATACTAAGTACTCAAATGAATATATCAAAACAAATCACTCTCAAGCATTATATGCAATTGTCTTGAAACAAAAGGATCGAAATCCACCAATCAACGCCCAACATTGATTTGCGAACGCGAAAGGAAATATGCTGTAAATCAATTGTTTTGAATCTCTTTTATTCTTGAACAATAGGTATAATGATCACCAAGGCGCCTTATAATCACAGCCTTAGCTCGATGAGTCATTAGTGCAACAAAGAACGGAAACAACATGCCTAAAGTCAAAAAGGAACTCGTGTCGTGTTTGATTTGCTTCAAGATGGTAATGTCGAGGCGTACCACGGAATTTATCACAAGTCCCTGAATCGGCAGTACTGTCCATATTGCACAAAAAGCTCGTCTATCTCCATGAACTATACAAAAACCACAGACCTGATGCCAAGAAGAAGTAACGCGGACAACGTGAAACAACGGCTCTTTTAAGAGCCACAAAATCATTTAAAGTCAATCCAATACATGCTTTTTATAAACACAACACTTTGAGTTGCGTGGTTTATATTAGTTAGAAAGGATGCGTTCTTTACTTTAGCATTTTCAGCTGTAGCTAGTATTCGACTGAACTGAGTCATTTATTAAAGAACGCTTTCTTGACTTTACAGTTTGAGTTGTGAGTTAGAATTCGACTTATACGYTTTGATTMAAARTGAAGTCCGTAATTAGTCTTATTCGACTGAAGTTTATTAAAAAGAACGATTTCTTGACTTTTCAGTTCCAGTTGACATCAAAATTCGACTTACACGTTTCTTTGATTCTCGGCTAAAACAGTTCGAAATTAAGTCCGTATTTAGTCTTATTCTACTGAAGTTTAGTAAAGAACGCTTTCTTGACTTTTCAGTTTGAGTTGTAGTCAGGCAGTCTAATTTTTCTTATAAAATCGTCGGAACAACCCGAAATAATACTGTTCGACAAGTGTGTATGGTCACAAGCACGGCATTTTGAGATTTTTCGACTGCCTGACGTTTAGTCCCAGAACTGGTTGTAAGCTGAAACTCCTGATGCATGTATACACTATGACCCGTAGCTGGCTACATGGCTACACCGGCTATGGGTCAAAATCAAGTGACAAGTCTTGTGTGTTTATAGAAGTATAGTTAATATTTGAACTATGATAATCTTTTATAAGTCTAACTATGATACAAACTGGTTCACATATGTGCCATTAATCGCTTTCGTAGTTGCA